GAATGAAGCCCTCAAGGAAATGTTCAAGGATGTTCGTCGGCGTCTAGAACTTGCTGGAAATAGGAATTGCGAACGATATAATCTTCGTGGTCGACATGTGGAGTACCTACCTAATGCCGTAGTATTAGAAGAATTAGTATTATCGGATGCCTCCAAATATTTTTCCTCCAAGTTAGCTCCTCGTTATGTTGGTCCGTATTACATTAAGAAGCGTGTCTCTCCGTGGATGTACGAATTGAGAGATGCGGCCGGTAACTCGAAGGGAATATGGCATACAAAGGATTTGAAGCCAGCTTCAAATGAGTCTACTGAGTTTTAAGAGAAATTTACTGGGTGAATTTCTTGAACTAAGGGGGGGATTTGTAACGTTCAAATTTCATTCTAAGAGTACATTAGTAATTACACGCCCTGTATGTGAAATTACTCTCATTTATTCAGCACACTTGTACATACAATTTCAAAAAATAAGAGGATATCCCATTCCAACGGATCCGCCTCTGGTTGTTTGACTGGAGCTGGAAAAAAGAATGTGTTAATTAGTATACGTAGAGGAAATATTTGTTATGATTTTATGGTGAATCGAACAATTCACTATTAACGTCCACATACATGTATGATGAAGCAGTACTCACCTTCTTTCAGTAGTTGCAGAATAAGGTTTTGTTTATTGTGTAATTAGTGTAAAGTTAACCACAACTTTTCATCCACAGTTTACGACGAGGGACAATCGAACAGGGTTTAGAATGAGATTTGCGAACAGTGTTGTCAGATTGCAACTTTTAGGAAATTTTACCTGTATTTCGATGTTATCATTTTAACAACACGATTATTGAAGCATGTCGAATAAATGAGTCAGCATTCTACATAAACTCATTCTATCAGCCAACTTTTCCTATCCAAGCATTAATACCGAAAAACATGTAAAATAAGAGTATAATATTATTCAGGAAAAATTCATTTTCACCGAAACAGGTAGCGTATGGGAACTGGAAAATTGGTTTCTTGGTAAAAATTTTATGACTTGTAAAAAGTATGTAATTTGAAATATCCTGCGTTGAACAACACCAAATGCCCAGGAAAGACTGATCTACAAAATATCAAATTTCTCACTTATCAAAAATAGTTTGTTAAGGAAAACTTCAGAATATATTCTTCGACAGTATATCTATCGACGTATTTGAACAGATTTGCGTACCATACGTTCTTTCGGTGCGAAAAAATAGTTCCTTATATTCGGAACTGAATCACTCAAAAAAGTCAAATTTCTCACTTATCAAAAATAGTTTGTCGATGAAAATTTCATAGTACATTCTTCGAAAGTATGTCTATTGACGTATCTTGACAGATTTGCGTATAGTGTATCCATTCCCAATTGGAACGGCAATAAAAATAAAAGTACAGTCATAAACATTTCTTGCCTGTGGCGTCTAGTCGCCCAGATAGTTAGTAAACGTGTTGTTCTCCAAAACTGTTAGTGGTGTATTGGTTGGGGTGCTCATCGTCCAGCCGGGTACGCTGGGCGTCGCTTTCCCACAACCCGTATGCTTCGGTGTATGCGGAGGCGTGTTCGACTACACCGACTCCGCTGTCCACCTCGGCCACCGTTTCGTTTCGTCGAGACGGCCGGCAGGCCTCCCAGACCTGAGCCCCAGGGATTTCGGGACTCAGCTTCTGTCTGAGCTCGACGGGAGGTTGTTTCGTTGCTCCGACTAGTTGGTTGAATGCTGCTATCTGTTGTAGCAACCTCGCCCGCCATGAGGGAATCCCCAAGGCCCTGCTGCCTTCAGGATGCCCCCTGGCATTCCACCTCCCCCTAGCACTTCTGCTAGGGCCTCAGTTGCTCCTTCCTGAGAGACGTGGGGCGCTCCTGTGCGCTGAACGTCTCCCTCCCAGGAACCTCTAAGGGTTTGGACCTGGGGGCGTCGCGACGCCTGGCGTCGGACGACCATCCCTGCGTCCCCGTTTATACGTTTAACACCCGCCGGTGACCCATCGAAGATACATCCCGCGTTGGAGTATCCATCTCCCAGATAGTCATCCTTGAAGATGTCCTCTTCACTTCCGAAACGGAAGTGAAGTCGGACCTGTACAGCAGTTTTCTTATATTCCTTTCAATTTTATATTTCTGAAGAGGTACACGTTTTTATATCCAAAATACAAATTATCTGATATTCTAACGTAAGCTATTCCTGGTAGTTCAGTCAATGTTCGGCCATAGGTTGAGCGCTGTCAGGTGCTACAAGAGCCTCGACATCTTCTTTAACTTCATCTATATTTATCAAGATTTTACTTACAGTGTTCTGTCCTCCAAAACCATACAAGCTCTGATGAGTCTATGAACATTTCAAACGATTAGATATCACTACCGTTTCTTTTATTGTGTATACTGCACTTTCAGGATGAAAAAAGCTGAAACAGCAATATTAGAACTCGTCACACATCGATTTGTGTTTTTGGTACAATGCTTCTTTAAATGACCTCTCTTCTTGCAACGAAAACCAATTACTCTAAAATTAGAAGGTACTCATTGACTTTCTCTTCTAGTCTACTCGTTATTTTACATAGGTAGGTAATGGACGTCACTACATTTTTGGAATAGTTGTTTAATGTACATTTTTATTGTTAAGTCCGTCCAAAATTCTGATCATGACATTGACTTTTGAAATAATTTGCATTATTTATGTTTTCAAATCGAATGATTTCATGTAACAATTCATCACTAGCTATTGTTTTTATAGAAAGCAAACCAGAAATAATTTTTTGTTATACAGGCCTATAACAACTAGAGCTTGAGGAACCGTTCAAGTATTACGTATGCACTATTGAAGGGCGAGGGAGTCTAGATGATGATTACATCAGCAGTAGCTATTTACTTTTTTACAATTATGGCTACCCACACATTGTCTATGTTTGAAAACGAAACGCATTTTTGGGGATTCCCACAAATAATTTTTACGTTTAGGTACTCGCTTAGACCGAGTAGGGTAATTACCGCGCGCTATTCACTCGTCTAAATTCCTTCTCATTCTAC